TTGGGCTTATTGCATAAAAAAATAATCTTAATTTACTAGAACTAAGCGAAAATATTACACTAAATAGGACGCAATGGAGAAAAAGGATTCATGTAGCCGACCTCACGTAGTGGGATTAAGGCTTTGTTGCTGTTGTTGTTATTGTTGCTGCTTTCATTTTATCATATCCAGACATTCAATTGGCTATAAATCTAACTAAATTGAATGGTGGATGGTGTATGTGAAAGAAGTGATGTATACATATGTAAATATGAAATTTTTGGTATTAGATATTAAAATACATAAAAAATATATGGCGGGTATGTAAATTAATTTCCAATACTTCATAATACAATAATAAAGATAAAGATTTATTCAATTAATATTCAGAGTAAAGTCGATTTATTTTTAAACGTTATCTACCTTGGAAATTAAAATTGCGCATGACGCTTGCCGACATCACGGCCACATGCATCTTCTGTAATTATCGATCAAGACAAGAACGACAGTTCCATTCTCCCTTGCTGCTGGTGTCAATGGCTGTCGGTCAATGCCAATAGTAGCCGTGTCAGTTGGGCCCCCACAGACAACCGAGAGTAAGAGTACTCGCGGGCCATCTAGAATTTACGGGGTCCATTTTAAGGTTATGTTTGGGACAGCTATTAATTATTTATAATCTACTCATAAGCAGATTATCTGAATAAATTGAGTAAGAGTACTCGCGGGCCATCTAGAATTTACGGGGTCCATTTTAAGGTTATGTTTGGGACAGCTATTAATTATTTATAATCTACTCATAAGCAAATTATCTGAATAAATTGTTTGTTGTTTGAGACAGTTTATTCAGAACAGCTTACTGGGAGCTGTTGTTGGATAAATAATCATTTTGCCCTTGTTTGTTTCTTTAATCTTAGCACTATTTGCTTCTCAAATAATTGTAGACTATAATTGATTGATCTACGCAAAAGTTTAATTTTGACAATTTCTTCTAAGTTCTAATTTCTTCCTCCCGACACAATTAATAATACCAGATACAACTTTGTAATTCTACAGCTTTCTCTATTCAAAGAGATAGAAGACTTGCTTGCCCCAATGGAAGAAGCTTGACAGACGAGAGTCATGTTAACGAACAACCTCTGTTACGTTTTCCTGCTTCTCTCCGGAGTTCGCAGGAGGTATTCGACAATTCCCAAATCAGTGCTCAGCTGGACTAGTATCGCCGCCCATATCGCCAATAACCTCAATTTCCCCATCCACGAATGTCGTTTAGGAAAGGGAGAAGAAGAAGAAGAAGAGAGAGAGAGAGGAGATTGAGAAAGTTCGTCTATGGGAGAGGAGTTAAAGGAAAAGGCATACATTACGAATCAGAAAGGAAAATTAAATTGCTAGGGCTCGCAGGAAGGAAGGAGAGGGATATCGGGTATCATTGCGCCGATCTCAGCAAAGGAGAGGGATATCAGGTATCCTTGCGCTGATCTCAGCAAAGGAGAGGAGGATTGGCGAACTGAGGCTGCCGAGCGAGGCGTGCGATTCTCCTGGAAAGGGCGCCGATCTCTTAGGCGATGCGTGCGATTCTCCAGGAAGGGGTGCCGATTCTCCAAGGGCGAGGGCGTGGGAGCGAGCCGATCTGCAATTCTCCAAGGGCTTCGAGGGAGTGAGGCGAGGCGACGAGAGAGATATGCGAAGTGGCAGG